ATGGGGTTCCCACACGGGGGGGGTCGTCTACTCGTCTGTAGATGACCCGAGGTATGTCGGGGCACCAGGGACTTCCTTTCTAGGGTATACCTGGTTCCCCAGCTATTAGGACCCGAGACGGCGTGCGGTTTTAGTCGGTTCGAGTCCGACATGCCACCGAAAGGTGGTATCCGAGGGGATTTCCTCACGAAAAAAAAAGGGGGTTAAAGTATGAAATTGCCGTTGTATACTAATAGATACTTTTAAATTGACATAAAACCTTCATGGTGTAAGAATTTCGTGTGAAACTTTTTTTACGTGATACCTATGCGGTTCTTTTTAAAAAAATATTGTAACATTCGATTTTCGATCTCCAATTGTTTTTTTTTATTCAGTTTAGACTTGAAAGATGGATACTTGGAAAATCCGAGTCATTTTTTAAACGAGTTCCGAAACTAACGCGGCAGAAACGGCTAATTCAAATTCAAATCGTTTAATTCAGACATAGTTTATAGGGTTAGTACAAACAAAGAAACTTAAGGACTAAAGTTAGTAAACACAATCAATTATTTTGGTGACCGGTGTGGATCTTTGCCCAGTGGCGCAACAGAGGGGAGTCCCACCGATCCGTAAACACCTTCAGGACACTGTTAGTAGCGGTGCGCAACCGGCCGGCCATGGATGCGGTCCTCTTTCTTAAAACTGCGTAAAAGTCGTCTGTGTGCGCCTCCGCAATCATAACGGACGCACTACAACGCCACGACAGCCCCAACAGCATCCTGAACGCGTTATTAACGAACCATGAACTAATGAACGCACCATGCGTTTTTGATTAAACGCTTTCATAATGGAATCTGCGACTTAAAGAACGAACCACGTGGAAGACCGCCCCCACAGGTGAATAACGCTGAATTGAATGGAGTGAGATGGTTTAACGTTAGTCTACCTACTATATTGACTCATTTGCATCAAATCAATAAGATAAAAATATAAAAAATGGGTGCCTCATGATTTGACTTATCTGCAAAATGAAATGTGTGTTGCCTTGTCGAATCGGTACAGAAATGAAGGAATATTGGATCGGATTGCACATGTGACGAAAAGTAGATAGTTTACGATAGCCGTAAGTGAAAAATGCAATGGCTGACCCCAGGTCAAACGCCGCAACAGGGCACTAAAGCAAAGCTTACCAATATAAATCTAATGGTAATTGTTTGGTGGTCTCTTCATGGTGTTCTTCACTATAGCTTACTCAGGTCTGGTCAGGCAATAACAGCAGATGTTTACTATCTCGAACTTCCAACAATGATAGCGAAACTGGCAGTGAAACAGCCCCGACTCGTGAATCGATCTTCACCATTATTGCTCCATGATAACGCAAGCCCTCACACTGCACAAGAAACCGTTGTAACTCTACCGGAGCTGTGGTTAGAAACAATACGTCATCCTCCGTTCTTGCCAGACCTTGCTCCAACAGACTACCATTTTCTTCGTAATTTGGACAATTTTCTACGTAATAATAATTCTTCCCAGGAGGCAGTACAAAATGCTTTCACACAGTATGTCGAATCTAGTTGCCCACAGTTCTATCGTAAAGGCATACATGAACTTCCGTTTAGATGGCAGCAATGTATAGAAAATAAGGGTTAATATTTTGATTAAATAATTGTGTTCTAATCTTATGGTATGGGAGCTAGCAACGTTTGGAAAGTAAGAATTTTAGGTCAGCTGATTTTGTGATATGTCGTCCTTCTTGCACTTTCGGTTAGACTCTGGGCTATCTGGCTGGCGGTAGCGGTTGCGTTCATTAGTGCGCATCCTACCTGTCCAGGTAGTAATCCTGTATTTTAAAACCATTTTAGAAGGCGTAATTTTTAATTTTTGTTTTTAAATAAGTCTACCTGACATACTTTTTTTATTGCCAGACATTTTTGACAATGCTAACTATGTGCCATACGCGATTTTATTTTATTTTTTTATAAAAATTTCAAAGTATTTTATAATGTCTGTAATTTTAATATTATGTTATTTAAGATAAGAAAAACTTAAAATAAATTTGCCAGACATTAATTCGATTGTGAAGTCTTGAATTAAAATTAAAAAGTCATGAAAAGTATTGCAGTATAATGCTAGTAGACCGAGAGAGATAGTTGCAGAATAAGTCGAGAATGATACAGAGAACCATTACGAAAGTAAATTACTTTTCACTGTGCATATAATTAAAAAAAAATAATAAGAATAAGAATAATAATAATCATCATTCTAGTCAAAGCAAGTTTCAAAAAAAATTTTAAGCATAAAAAGGAATATAAAATTAGATTAGTCCATATGGGACGATGTAGTCGCTCAGCGACAAAGTCCTTTTATTAATAAATATAAAAAAAAAAAAAAAAGATTAAAATTTAAAAAACAACACTTTTTATTTAAATAAACAACACTTTTTTTTATGTAAATTAGAAATAAATTAATATTAAGTTTTTCAAGTTATTTCAACCAAAGTTACAAAAAAAAAGAGGCATCTTCATAATCATCATCGTCGCTGTCTTTGTCAGTGTCATTCATGTCATCTTCTTGGGAACTTTCGTTATCTTCTAAAACTCTATCATCTGCAACAGAAAAAAAATAAACAGTGTAATTCTTCTAGTTCGTTATAAAACATTTTAGTTATTATTGATTTTCACACTTACTTTGAACAATAATATCTGCAACTGAGGATGGTAATTGATCTCCCAAAAACCAGACAAAATCATATTTGTCACCGTTAATGGTCCAACCGAAAGTCATTGGAGATAAATATGTTGGATGTTTTGAGTGAGCATTTCTCCAAATTTTCGTCACGTAACGAACCCTCAATAAATGCTGTTGCAATTCCGCTTTACAGGGTGGCAAACTGGATGAGTCAAAGTTTCGAAATTTTTTGTTGAAGTTCTCATCTGATTTTTTAGACTTAAACGTACTTGAAAATAAATGAAATCGAACATCATTAACATTGGAACAATTTTTAACTCCATACATTTGACAAATAAATTTCTCCAGGGTTACAAACGTAGTTTCAAGTATTTCTTTGTCATCCGTAATAATATTATCAAAAGCTAATTGGTATTCTTTAGAATTTTCTAATATTTTAAAAGGCTTAACTTTGCCTTTTCTAAAAAAAGCTGGCGTGTAATCACATCCGGTTATTGCGTGGCAGCATGGTAAAGCTTTGCATAAAGAGTCACCAAGAATTCGGTGTAATTCATTGATGTTTATGTAACGCTGATGATTTCCAACACCCATATTTATCCAAATTTTCAAAGATGCTTTCAGGTGATCCATATTTCCCAGAAGTATAATTAAAATATCAGAATCAGAACAGCGTATAACAACGTCTGCGTCAAAATCGATTTGGCAAATATGAAAAATAATCCTAGAATCAGCTTCGGACTACTAGCATTATACTGCAATACTTTTCATCACTTTTTAATTTTAATTCAAGACTTAACAATCGAATTAATGTCTGGCAAATTTATTTTAAGTTTTTCTTATCTTAAATAACATAATATTAAAATTACAGACATTATAAAATACTTTGAAATTTTTATAAAAAAATAAAATACAATCGCGTATGGCACATAGTTAGCATTGTCAAAAATGTCTGGCAATAAAAAAAGTATGTCAGGTAGACTTATTTAAAAACAAAAAATTAAAAATTACGCCTTCTAAAATGGTTTTAAAATACAGGATTACTACCTGGACAGGTAGGATGCGCACTAATGAACGCAACCGCTACCGCCAGCCAGATAGCCCAGAGTCTAACCGAAAGTGCAAGAAGGACGACATATCACAAAATCAGCTGACCTAAAATTCTTTCTCGAAAACGTTGCTAGCTCCTATACCATTAGAAAAAAACGAGTTTTATTTTTTCAGTACAAATCGGCAATTTTATACTTTAACTTACCTATTCGAAGCGACTAAATAGGCCGAGCTTATCTCATAGACAGTTCCAGAAGTTTCATTAGCTTACCGAAAAATCTTGTAATACAGAGTTCTAGAATATTCTAGAACTTTTTCTAAAGCATTCAGTTAGTGTCATATGTCTTTTTTATAGTAAAGGAGAAAAACGAGCTTACGGGTTACATTATGGTAATTGATTACCGCTGCCAATGGACCCCTAAACTCCCTCTCCCAGAATTAGTGGGAAACCTCCCCAGTTTGTGCTTAAGTAACCTCACTCACTGAAAGCAACGAAAGAATTGATTGACTTTGGTTTCAATCTGGTTGAGCCGGACCATTTCCACGGGCCAAAGTCTTTACTGTTGGTGACTGAAACACTATTTTTGTTCACCTAGAAAACTTTCTACATATATTTGGGACGAAGTTCCTTATCGCGGTTTACAAGTTCTAAGTGGATGGGTGCGATACCGAAAAATGGGTAACAATACTTTTTCTGACTCTCCATCTTTTTTTGATAATTTTCTTAGATATATATAAAAATACCATGACCAAAATTTATAAATGAAATATTTGTCAAATAACAGAACTTCGTTTCTATCGGGTGTCCGACGACACCACACGGCTTTTGTCCATGTTTTAGAACCTACAGTACAAAGTATGCTTAGAGGGCTCCTGGTAAAGTGGTAACCCAGTAGGTTAACAGTGCAAAGTTAATCAATCCTAGCTAGGTGAGTCTATGGATAGGTGAGCATTGACACCCCTTCGTGTCTCGTAGAGCACGTTAATCTGTCGGTTGACATACGAACATCTGTGATTATCGTTACGAGTAGTATGAGACCTAAAAAGTTCAACAATTGTCTTTCTACAGAACTTCGACATCGCCTAGTACTTGGGCTGTTTAGGTCTGATGGCAGTCGCTCCGCTTAAAAAATCGAAGTTCAGCCTTATCATAGTAGACATAAAGTTGATCCCAACCTGGTTATGGGAAAAGGTGCAGAGGAAGAAGTACAAAATATGCTTAGACTAAGGCTGTTTAAATGTCTGTAATATTGAATCGTAATTTTTATTTCCAGAAGTCTGTAGGAATGCTGAGCCCGAAGATCCAGCGGTCGGTCCGCGTCAATGATGGGCAGCTGCTCGCGCTCTCGGAGCGGGCGCAGTTCGATCATATACAAGTGAGTAATTCATCAGAATGGAATAAAAAACATGTTTTCTATAGAAAACCAAACTAAAAAATAAATTTGAAAAAAAGCGTTGGGTGCCTGTTGTCAATAGTAAAAAGCACCCCACGCTTTTTTTAGTGTTTTTTAGTTTTTTAAAACTATATATTTTTTTAAATTAGTGTTTTGTCATCGATCCTCGATATATCTACAAAGTTTGAACGAATTCTGACCGTTTAAAGTCAGTCAAAATCACGCCCAAAGGAGTCGGTTACAAACATACAAGTGAAGCTAATATAAAGCGTGTAAAAAACAACTTTTACGTGCCTTAATCATCATCATTAACACATCAACAGCCTTTAATAGTCTACTGCAGGACATAGACCTCTCCTTAGCAAGGTTTTGGCTTACTATACCACGCTGGTCAGATGGTTTGGTATAGTGTTTGTGTCAAGTTTTCCTTTTCTTTGCAGTGCTGTTGTCCTGCGTAGTTTGCTCCCTTAATCGGTTCTTACGACACCCTCGGGATGAATAGGTGGTGACAATCCGTATTCTTAATCGTCACCACACGGATAATTTCCTGCCTTATTCCAAGTTTTATTTGGGGTTTTATTTTTATGGTCACCAGACTGACCGGGCACGACAATTGTCTTTTGGACCTTATTGCCATGAACGAATGGGTAACTACTTAACGGCTGAACCGATTTCGATTAACTGTATGCCGTTAGGTTTGTATTTATGATTACTAATTATCACTCGCATTAATTTTATTTTTAATTTTATAATTAATATTTGATTTTTTGTTGTAGTCCGGCTATCTTCACAAACGGAGCTCTGATAACAACAAATGGCAGCTGCGCTGGTTCATCCTCTATCAGGTATGTTTCTTCAATCTTCTTGGAAACTGATTTGACCTTACTGTCAAATACAGAAAAGTTTTGGACAAAAGGTCTGATAGATATCCTTAGTTTTGTCAAAACAAACAACTCTAAAGAAGACTATTTTCTATTTCTATTTTTCTATTTTTAAAAAGACAACTCCCGCATTAGGAGACTGTTAAGAAATTACTTTTGATCTAAAAATTTACTATTGCAGATTGTGTATTATAAGGTTTTTTTTATAAAACAATTAAAAAATAAATAAGCTTTTAAATAATTATTAATTTTTAGGTGTCATTTAAAAATTTTTTTTTCTTTTAAAAAGACAACTCCCGCATTAGGAATATATCCTGTGTCGCGGGGGACTTTACTATAATACATGAAACGGACACAAAAAACACCCTCAGAACCCTCAGAACTACAATTTGTGGATAACACAAAGTGGCTTTCCATGTGGGGATCGCACCCACAACACTCAGCGTAGTAGAAAGCGACGTGGCGACCGCTTAAACCACTACGACATCCGTGCAGTCAAGTCCTTTGTATTGCGTGATCAGTGTATTGAAGTGGAAAGCGCTTAACTCGTGACTGCGTATAGGCTTGAAAATGAACAATACTCTGTAGGTACTCAATCAATACTTAATATTCATTGTCATTTCACGATTTCTTAATGGGATAGGGCTAAAATGTGTTAAAATGATTGTAAAATTTTATTGTAATATTTTTACAATTGAAAGTAGTTATATTAGTAATGTTACCATTTAATCCTATGGCGCAACAGTAATATTACAGTAATAATTAAAATCTTCAAGCCGGGTTCCAGACTTCTTTAAAATAAATTATATAGTTTGAAAGCAGCCACCTTCCCGCGCACCGTCGATTTTATGCTCGTCAAGATGGCGTCAGGGGACTCGAGGAGCGAGCAAGTTATGCTCGCGAAGGAGACGGCGGAGCGGGACCGGGAGAGGTTTAGGACTCTCCCGGTCCCGCCAGGCCCGGGAACGGGCCAGGTACCGCAGGCGACTCAGGCGCCGGAGGTCGCAGAACGACCTCCGTCCTCCATAAGCGCAGGCCTGGGGGTGACAGGTGAGGCCATCTGTCACCCTAGCAGAAGCAGGCCGGGGTGGCGGGGTCAGGGAACATGGGGTTCCCACACGGGGGGGGGGGGGGGGGGGGCGTCTACTCGTCTGTAGATGACCCGAGGTATGTCGGCGCACCAGGGACTTCCTTTCTAGGGTATACCTGGTTCCCCGGCTATTAGTACCCGAGACGGCGTGCGGTTTTAGTCGGTTCGAGTCCGACATGCCACCGACAGGTGGTATCCGAGGGGATTGCCGCACGGAAAAAAAAAGGGGACTCGAGGAGGTCAGGATTATATCCGTTTTAAATATTTTTTATCCTTTTGCCTAGAACATGCTGTTTTACTACGAATCGGAGAACAATACCCGCCCGACTGGTGTGCTGCTACTTGAGGGCTCGTACTGCGAGCGGATCACAAAGGCGCCCATGGAAAGAAATTCTTCGGTAAGTTAAATAATGGTCGTCACCTTTACCTGAGCAGATTACTGATCTGCTCAAAATTGAAATGGGCAATTCCTGTTCAGTTTAGTACTGAAGAAAAGAAAAAAGTCGAAATGTCATCTCATCTTGTCTATTCTTTAAGATTAAAAAGAATTTTGTTTAGGATTATTTCAGCGGTTTTTTTGTTGTCTACTACTATTCACGATACTTAATTTTTTTAATAAATTTTTTAATATTTTTATTTTTATTTTATTTTTTTATTTTTTTAAGCATTCTCTGCTAGTCTGCCCGGTGATGTAGACGAGCGAGAGTTGGTGCATTAAAATTATTTATTTATATTATAATGTGAACTAGCTGGTACCCGCTACTTCGTTCGCGAGGCAATTGAAAAGCGCTGCCTTAGTGGGTTCGATTCCCGGACCGGGAAGAGATTTTTCTGAGGAGACAAAAGCCTGGCCGTTTAGAAGATTACCCGACACAAACAGACAGACAAAAAACTGTTAACTGGTTGTTAGGCATAGGTATCGTGCTAAGTGAGCCCGAAAAACACCTATTATTCTGATACTACAAACAGACACTTTAATTTAATTTATTTGTATAGATAATAATAATAATAGTATTTATTTTATTTTATTCTCTTACACAGTATACATTATTAAATAAAAAGAAAGCAGTGAAGCGATACAAAATAAAATTTACAGTTTTATTCAGCAAATCTGTGTGGGAGACTGGTATCTGTACTAGGAGACCTGTATGACAGATTACCAGACTCTCCAGGCTTTGGATAGGTGAAGTGCTGTTTAATGGAGGTAGATTAGTTATCACCAAGAACAGGTTGAGCTCTCTCAACCTGTTCTTGGTGATAACCTCTGGTAAGGTCTCTCTCTGGAAGGTACTCTAATCCTCACCTTACCAGAGGAGGGTAAGGTGAGGATTAGTTAGGAGGATTGTTAGAGTAGGGTGAGTTGGTGTGAATTTGTGTGGAGTAATGTGGTGTGTGTGTCGTGATTTGGTGAGTGATGTGATGTGGTGTGGTGTGAATGGTTGGTAAGGTAGATAGATAGATAGATAAATACTTTATTTGTACACCAATGTTTTACAGACATTATACAGTAATTAACGACCGATGTAATGTACAAAGGGCGGCCTTATCGCTTAGTGCAATTTCTTCCAGGCAACATTTGGATGGATTCATTTTGAAATGGTGATAGGTATACATAAATTAGAGAAGTAAATAAGGTCCCTCTAAAATATATTTTTTTATACATAAATACTACTAATCTATATTTATACATAAATACTACACATACATACGTTAATATATAAATACGCTAATTTTCAACTATTAGAGTCAGATAATGCTCATATAGCATAGTCTTGAAGGTGGTTACGGATTGCGCACGTCTGATAGTAACCGGCAAGGCATTCCATAAACGTACAGCTTCTACGGAAAATGACTTTATGTAGAAATTGGTAGAATGCCTTGGTATTTCCAATCTCAGGCTTTCAGAGGACCTCAGACATTTCATATGTGTGTCATGAAGGAGTTGTGTAAGGTGTTGTGTGTGGTAAGTGAAATGGATTAAAGTGCACTTAATGATCTTAGAGGGAACAGTGAGTAGTTTTTCAGTTTCTTCAAATGTTACAGTTTTTAGTGACAGAGTGATAAGCCGTTTACAATATCGAAACAAGTTTGTTCAACTTGTTTTAGAGATAACCCCCCCCCCCCAGAAAGCCAAAGAATTTACGGGAAAAGGCTGTAAACCTTCGATTCTCTAAAATGCAACAAACATTATGTTTGAGGCGTTTTTCTGTAAGTGCGGTGTCATAGACGAGACTCGAATGCTGTATAAGTGTGGTGTGGAGTACAAATAGTTGGCGCACCGTTAAGACATCGGAGAGCTGGCAAAGGGGTAAGAAGTGACTCACCTTCAGAACCTTCAATAAGCGAGTCTTGCAGGTGCCGCCCCATACAGTGATGCAGTATGTTAAGATCGGTTGACACAAGGAAAAGTAGACCATTTTTAAAACATTTTAATCTGTGTGTAACGGTTTTATGTGTCTTAAATTTTTGAAGACAAAAATCAGTTTGCGAACCCTGGAAGCAAGCTGATAATACTCGTAAGAATAGTGTAAATAAGTACATAGATAGGAAAATACATTTAATATATTATGGTCGGTTATTGACCTCTAGGCGACCTCTAGGCAACCTCTAAATCTAAACTTGATTACCTGTTTCAATTTCGTATCAGTAGTGTTTGACTATGTATTAAAATATTCTTTTTGTTACCAGTTCTGCTTTACAATATCGTACCGTCGCGAAAGTCAACGACAGTACGAGCTGCGAGCTGCTTCCGAAGTGGACTGCGTACATTGGGTCGATGCTATACGAGAGGCCAGGTATTGTATCTAAAAAAACCCAGTAATGTACTATAAACTAAATCTTTGTAGCTAAAAGTTTTACTACATACTTTCCGTTGAAAGAACACGTACAGAAGATGCACTCTTGACAAGTGGTTAGACAAATATCTACTCTAAGAGTGCTGTAATAAGGTGCCAAATTCACTGCGTTTCCGTTTCTTGTCCACATTATTTTTGGTAGACTTATGATCATTTTTTATTTCTATTAGGTCGTGGTGTGCAATTGTGTAGTGTGTCGATCTGTTGTAACGTGTGAGCCTTTGAGAATACTATTTAAAAACAAAAACGAAATATTAAATTTTATTATTATAGCAGTAGATAGTACCTACTTACGTTGATATAGATCGGCGGTCGGTTATTATATTAATCATAAGATTTTTATACATAAGATAAGATTTTTTATTAATAAGATTTTTTTATTACTTGAAAACTTTAGAAAATAATAATTAAGATCTCTAAATCGAATAAATTCATTATGTATACCTAAATTGAATACTTTATTCGGTATAAGTAAAAACTTAATGCCATAATTGTATTTGTAAGAAAAATAAAAACTCCGTGGTCCATCCTAAAAAAACTATTGTAGTAGCTTTTAAAACGCTGGTAACTTTTTAAATTAATAATAAGCTACAATCAACGTATGCTCGTGTCTGAAATAAATAAAATTATGATAAAAAGTAGGTACTTAGCACTATGCAGCAGAGTCTTCCGAGGAAATATAATGAAAAACTTAATTTGTGGTATAAAATGGTATTAGTTCAGAAGGTCAGTAGCAAAATATTGCTGTGGATTTATCATCATCAGCCTATCGCATTTCACAGCTGGACATAGGCCTCTCCCATTGCACGCCACTGAGATCGATTTTGGGCTTCTCGCATCCAGCTCCTGATAGCCATCTTGCGCAAATCGTCACTCCACCTTGGCCTCAGGCAAAGATTGCCATATTTGGAAAAATAAATATATTACGTTTTTTAGGAAATGATTTATTTTTCCAAATATAGCAATCTTTTTGATATCACCACTGATGAGCCACTGCCATTCCATCGCCACTGTAAAGACACTGAGTTAGTTTAGACTACCGATATTTATACCGATGCCAATGGCCCCCCGATGGCATCTCAATAGCTTGTCAGTGGTATGACACTGGCTTGGCGTGAACATAAAATAGCAGAATTGAGGCCCTGGCCTGTGAGCACCCTACTACTGTAGATTTATATTAATACCTATTTCGAACAGATATTGGATGAATTCTCAAAGAATATGTATCAAATATGTTTAAGTAAATCGATGAAATTATTCGTATTATTACCGTCTTGTCATGTGTTTGTCACGCGATACAAACATTAATGACAGTATTAATGGCTGTCAACCCGTCTTTACGACCTTGCTGTACAACTGGGTACAGCTAAATAGAATTGATTTTTAGCTATATAGCTATATATGTAACTTAAATACTGCGCCGCGGACTTTATAAGGAATATATTTCAATTTGAAAGCTGGTATTACCAATTTAAGTAATCGAAATATACATTGCTGGAAATAACCATGTAGTTTTTTTTTTAATTTTTCTACAGAACATTAGAACCCGACTAAAGCCGAACATCTCCGAGAATCGCCGAACCTGAACAAGATTGGACGCTCCTGAAGTCAGGCAAAGTTACAGCAGTCCTTTGAATAATACAGTGCCCTTTTATTATTAAAGTTTCAATGAATAATTTCGCCGCAAGCCTTTGCGACTCAATGATAAAATAAAAATTCTATGAAACGACCACACGGGTAAATAAGACTTGTTCAAAGTTCAGCGTTTTCTGGGGCTTAGTTAAGAAAAAGATCTAGAATTTTCCAGTAGGTACAAGTTAAACTAGCTAAAAACATATTTTTTCGTGATTATTGAGGTCCATAATGTATATATAACCTCCTTTCTAAGGAGAGGTCTATGTCCAGCAGTGGCCTATTAAAGGCTGTTGATGATGATAAAGTGAAACTGAAGTCGTTCTCGTCCCCTGTACCTACGCTTGGATCTTTTAAACTACGCAACGGTTTTTAATGCGGTTTTCATCAGTAGAGAGAGTGATTCAAGAAAAGCCAAAAATTTCATAGATTTGTAATACGATGTCGTAAAAAATATATAGGTAAACAGACTAGAAGGTATCTATTGCTGTCCAAAGGGTTAATATACCCTTCCAAATAAAGGTAACAAACATGATAATAATTGCGTAAAAATACTATTTTTTTGTCTAAATGTTTTGTAACCTCATATATTACTCTTTTGTGCACATATTATCTCTGTAACCCAACACAAACACTTAACACATATCTTGAAATTAAAAACAAGGTCAAAACATGATTAGATTTGTGTTATCCTCCTAAAGGTCAAGGACCCTTCCATCATCAGCTCAGCAACATGAGATAACAACTACCAAATGCAAATACCTGTACAGCTAGAGAAAAAAGCTAAAACACGCTGTCAGGGCTGTAAAATTTGAGGGTTTCCCTCGATTTCGCTGGGATCTCATTGTCAGATTCTGATTTGGTGGTAATGTGACCACCTCGAGAGTATTACTCGCATTACAAGAAGAATTTTTGAAATCGGCCCACAATCGCCGAAGATATTGCGTAATAAACATACAAGAAAAACATACACACGAATTGAGAACCTCCTTTTTTGTATTTTTAAAGTCGTTTAAAAAGAAGATCATCAATCATCAAATAAAAAAATAGTCATCAATCAAATTAATTAAAAGCACAAAAAAGAAAATGTCAAAAAATTAAAATAATAATTAAACGCAAATTTTACAAAGGGTTGAGGGGTCTATGGACTCTGTCTAGGTTGGAACAAAGTTTCTCAAGAAGTGTCTTGTTACACGTTTTTCGTTCTCGCTCCCAACCGCTCAGTGTGTAACGTAAAGATCTTGGTTCTAATAATTAAATAATGCTTTTTATAGTTTTAACTAGAAACACTACAATTTACAGTTTTCATTATAGGTCGTCATCATTCACCACAGGTACTTATTGTCTTTGGCATTCACAATGTCTTATCCTCTAGAAAATTGATTACACTATAATAACACTTGTCTATTAATATTCTTAAGTTTATTTTTGAATATATTCGTTGTCAACTCCTTTGGACTCTTGGGGATTTTTTTTATAAATTAATGGCACCGTGCATACCCCACGTTTAAGTAAAAGCGCAGTTTTAGCAGGATGAATACTATTGGAGGATATATACTATATACAGGATAACACATTATGATATTTTAAGATGTTTCATCTATTTGTCAAAATGTCTTAATTATTGTTACAAATAGTTCAAAAACGTATTTAAAATTATATTTCATTTTAACACACCGTTTTTATCACAAGTCATATCTTTATTTTGATTGGTCTGAGGGCTGAATGCAAGTGTATTTCACATCGACTTGCTGTCGCTGTGGAGATTTCAGCGCGGGCCAATCGTAGCGTCGAACGTGTTCACCGTGTCGAGTAAGTTGATATAAAATACACTCGCACTTGACCCTCTGTTAACAAACTTTAGTCATGCAATTTCGAATAATGATAGTTTAAAAACCATTTATGGTTTTGGATTACCTTTGTGGAGGAAAATGAAAATGAAGGTTAAAAATTGTGAGCTAAATTTATTTAAAAACGGATTCAGTGAATAACTACAATAGGTCGATAAAATGTCGATTGCTTTTGCAGTAGCTGTGTAATGTTGATAATTATATAACTAGTTTTTTTTAGGAGTATAGCCATAGCGGCTGTTTATTTGCATCCGGTTAGTGTTGTGCCCTTGTATGTATAAATAGATTGATTAATTCTCTATAAAGAACCTAGGACACCAGCACTGCAAAAAGAAGGAAAACTTGACACAAACCCTATACCAACCCGTCTGGCCAGCGTGGTGTAGTAGGCCAAACCTCCTTTCTAAGGAGAGGCCTATGTCCAGCAGTGGACTATTAAAGGCTGTTGATGTGATGATGATGTGATGTGAAAGAACCTAGCAAGACCCCTTACTGTTCCAACAGAGATTCTCATTGGATTCTCATTGTATTTCTGATAATGTCTTACATACAGAAGTTTAGGCATTATTAGGACTAGTTATATCTTTGTAATATTGGTCAATTCCATCACAAGATCAAAGGGCACACAACACGGATTTGTCGGGTTTATTGAAGTCTCCAAAGGTCTTTAAGTCTCCAAGTAGCCAAAGTTCTTTGACAATGTTACACTTTAGAAATTAAGACAAGGAAAGGAAGACGGTGAACGTATATTTATTTTTATTTTAATACTTGCTGCATAAATATATAAAAAAAACAACCAAAGCATTTTTAAGTATTACACTTTCACACACCACTACTGAAATAAGCGAAAGGACAGGAAGACGATGCTGATGTTCTTATAGGACTATAGTTAAACCGCCGTAAGCTTGGCCCTCCTGATGGTTTGGGGGACGCGGGGCGGGGGTGCATTCAACCAATTAGCTAGTGCGTCGCTGTCCGCCGGCAGTGACCGACGTGAAAGCATGGCTGTACGTGTTATTTTTCTTAAGACTGCTACACACGGTATTATTTTGCAACATGGATAATCTGCCGACTCTGCGTCACAAAAAGATTAAAAAACTTGAAGTTCGGATTACAGAGGTTCTACTGTTAAAGTTCTAATAAAGAATATTTATTATTTTACCTAATTTTTAAATTGTATCTGAATATAATTTACATGATGAAGATAAGGTGATTTTATTAAAATTATTTCACTGTATTAAATTTTACAATTAATCATAAAAACTTACAATATACTGACTTTATAATACATGGAAATAAATTCGATTTTTATTAAATCGTGTGTAGATTAAATCTCAAACAAATAAATCTGAAGATATCGAGTTAGTACATCGTGTCATGTATAGCCGAGCGCATCACCCGCCCCGCGTCCCGCAAACCATCAGGAGGGCCAAGCTTACGGCGGTTTAACTATAATAGGCAGCACCGGTGT